GACCTCAAATAAATGTGTGATATAGTAAAGGAGAGGTGTTTTCTTGGATAGCCATCTAATATTTTAATAGATCAAAGGTTAGCAGGATTTTGTGTGAGCACAAAAGCTGGTTTGAATAATTGTAGCTCCTGTCTCAAAACTGGGATAACACCTCATTGCCATTCTCATTCACACTTTAAAAGTCTTCAATGAATTGTTTTGGAAATCAGTGATTATCACGTGTATCTATTCTGTACCATTTATAAGAAAAATGTCTAAAACTTCCTAAAATGCGTCTTACAATGTTTTTCAAGAAGACTGTTGAGGCAAACTCTGATGTTCAAAACAAATGCTATGTACGAAAATAATAAAAAGTCATGCCCAAGAGGATCTTCATGGAGAGCTGAAGTTTATGAAAGGAAGCCAATATTTTTTAGTTTGGTGAAGAGAGTGGTCTCAGCAGATACAGGCAGAGAACAGACATCAGAGCAAATGGTTGCAAAATCACGTAGAGATATGTGGCTTTGGGAAAGCAAATTGCTGGCTGTGAAAGCCTTCTAAGAGTGAGCACAGAAACCTCCTCACCTGATGCCAGCTGTGCTCTAGGAAAATGGAATTCCCTCCACATTTTTTTTTTCAATTAAAAAGGCTAGCACTAGAAACAATCAGAAAACCCCACATAAATATTATTCATCACCAATTTCTGTTCTTAGCAGAAAGAATCCTCCTGCCTGGAATTTACTGAGGCAAGTGGGAACAGTATTTCTTCCTCCAGTAACTAGACATCCCAAGGAGGTGAAACACTTTCTCTGAAATATGGCCCAAGCCAAAGCTCTTCTGGCAGCACTGAGTAACAACTTTGCTGGTGGAGCTCGTAGTCCAAATACAGTCAAAATCCAAGCTCCTTTGTAGTATCTTACAAAGAAAGGGGAAGAATTCCTAAAAGAGTTGTGAGAGTAATCCCAACTGCTGTAACTCAGATCATTTAACAGCCAGCTATGATAATCTCCTCAGTAAATTAATATGGTTTGTCAAGCCAAACAAACTACAAAATAAGAAAGCTGTGACTGTGCCATGAAGATTTGCTAATCATGAACATCCATTTCAAAAACATTCTGAAACTCAGCCGAAACCAGCTCATTATCTCCTTTATTGGTGCTTTCAGAAGAGGAAAAAAAAGGCCCACCAGCACCCCAGAAAAGTGTGAAAGAGGAGCAACTGATGTCTGATGCATCTCTGGAGAAAGACAGTGAAATTATTTATCATAGAGCTGTTTAAGCCAACCGAAGAACAAAGATTAGCCTAAAAGGTTTCATGTCCAGAAATACTGTGTACTGCTGGCAGTTCTAAAGGAATGCTACCAGCACAGAGCCTTGTTCTCCTTTATCAGCAAACTCTGTGCCACACTGGGATACACTACATGGGCAGTACATGTTGAAGTCTGGAGAAGAAATATGACTCTATAAGGTATTTGTTGAGATAAAACTAAACCTTTATATAGTTACTATTATTCTATGATTCTGTGGTGTGATTATGACTATATAATTAGACTGTCTGCCTAACAGTACTTTATTACAAGTTTATGACTCAAAAGCTCTGTTACACTGCTTTCCTCAGGAATAAGTCCTGTTAAAGTTCACTGAGAACTTCAATAAGCAATTCAAAGTTTTAATAAGAAAAGTATTACTGGTATTACATTAATATATTACATTCATTTACACAAAGCATAAGAGCTATCCATCTGCTATCACAAGACAAAATATATACAGAACTGCATCACAAAAAGAGAGAAAGACCTACAGCTGAAGTCCAACATAAATAAACATAATCAATTTCCCAAGCTGACAGTGCATTGTAAATTATTTACAACATATAAATAGGTGAAACACTACTCCAGGTCCATTGAAAAAAACCAAAATGGCATCAGAGAAGAAAAATGGCACAGCATAGCTTTCTATTACCCACACTACAACTGAATGAATGAAATGCAAGAGGAGATGTGCTGAGTTACTTGATACTTGCTAGTCAGCTTAATCAGATACTCTCAATTTCCTGCAGGATGGATAACAAACACTGTTCTGCTGCTTACTGCACACCACGTCTACTGAAATATTTTCTGAGGCAGAATGATCCCTAAAGCCATCTAATAACACAAGGAGTCTGGAACCATGCAACCCGACATAATGTAAGAGAAGTAGGTTTAAATAAAAATAATTAATTAAAAGATCTTGTACATGGGTAACTGAGATAGTAAATTATAAGGTTATGATGACAGATACCCAAGTTTCTGACTATCCTTTATTGTAACCCTACCATGTAAAAACCCAAAACCCGACTTCGTGCTCCTCACTGCCATCTGCCCTTATTTTAAAAAAATCCTAAAACTTCAGAATAGTTTAAAAAGCAACACACTTAAAACAAAATGTTTAAAAACTTTTTGCCCAAAGTATTCTCTCAATATCAGAAAGACATTTTATATTCAGCAAACTAAAATAATTAAGAACAGAATTCATCTTTTAATGACATGCATTTGTGTGAAGAAAGGTTAATAAAGGATGAAGAAGATTATTGCCATGAATAACAAGGATTTAATTTTAGAAATTCTGCAGTGCTTACATGTTATTGAAAATACTTTTAACCCTTTCATTGTTCAGGAAGATATATGTATGAGGTACTACTTACTTGCACAGCAAGCTGACTGAAAATCTTATCTTGTACCTCATTATCATCAATAACACAGTATTAATTTTCTGCCTAACTATATTCATTTTTATGCCTAATTTTATTCATATATTAGCACTGATATGCATTTTATTAATCATCATCTCAGTTGCTTCATCCAGCTAAATTTTTCATCCATCAGAGATGCATATTTCTAGGGAAAACTAGAAAGATTTTCTCTTTTGTTTTACTTCTTTAATGAGAATACACAGAATAAAATAACAGGGACAGTGAGGAATATGAGAACCAAGAGACCATGAATGCCAAGCCACCTCCCTCCCAGGTTTACTCAAAACTGAAATTCTTTAGCCCATGCCCAAGTTACACTGGAAATGGGGAAAAACCAGATAGCCATTTTTTCTCTCCTTTCAAAAAGCTGATGACATAAAATATAGGAAAAAAATATATAGTACAAAAAAAAAAAAACCAGCCAAACAAAATAACCATTGTGACTTTCCTTGCAATAGCTGATATTTAGGGCTTTGCTAGGTCACAGCTATCATCCATGGTGTGAATTCCCCATTTTCATTGCCTTCATTAATAAATTTTTTTCAAAAGAAGCAGAAAAAAAAGACACTAGTATTCAGGCCTACTAAATAAAGCTAAGAAAAAAGCTTTATGTTTTTTAACCTCAACATGACCTCTCAGACCACTTCTGAAACCACTCAGAAATTCTTAGAAATCAATACTTTGGATTAAGAATTTTACCTCAGAGTAATATGAATTTTGAATAATTAACCCTTTTGCAATTTCTATCTCCTTTCTTTTCCATTTTTGGCACTAATTTTCTCACTGTTTCAAAATAAAGTCAGCTCACAAGATGCATTTCTTAGCACTACTTAACTTCTTATTCCTAAAGGAAAATTGCTCCACATTTTTTGTTATTGCTTCAAATTTTCTACCTTTCTGTAGTTTCATGTTTCCCTCAAATTCCCATAAATTGGATAAAAAGCCTTGTAAAAAAAGGAAAAATTAATATTTTTTTTTTTAAATAAAGTTTTCTTACTAAAAATCTCTCAAAATATTTTTAGTAAAGACATTTATGGGTGGTACCTATCCTGTTACTCTTCCAAAGACAATCTGGATAATGCTGGAAAGGTCCTAATAAAAGAAGAGGACTCTGTCTCAAGTAATTTTGTCCAGTAAATTTTCCTTCCATAGCATCCAATGTATTTTAAAAAAGAGAAAGTGATTAGTTTAATTTTGCAGTATTACCCAAGCACAAAAATTTGCACTTACAGTATCTAATATATCAGAAAACCTTAGAGAACCTAAACATTCTAAATTGCTAGATGAATTCTTTCTGTAGTCACACTCCTCCCACAAAGATCATTTGTTTTGTGTCTGGTTGCCTCCAACTCTCCTCTTCCTCCTTCCCCCTGGCCTCATGCTACTCACAGTCCCTCTGTGCTATGCCCAGGATCCAAGCAAAGGGGAAGTCCAAGGGCCAGGTGTGTTTTTTTACTAGGCAAGCTGGAGCCAGACCTCTTGCAACAGAAAATACCCAACCTGAAGACATGGGAATACAGTTGCTTCCCTCGTCATGGCAGGAACACGCTGTACAGAAACCACAGTCCCATGACTCAGAGCACATCTCAACCAAGAAGCTCTGAGATGATCCTCTCTCTCCACTGAGCTCAGGGAACTTGAAACTACATTCCTAACTGCTTCTTGACATTTCCTTGTCCCTGTGCAAACTGAAGTCCATCCAATCCAATTGTGCCCTGCTCTCTTTCACTGTCCTTTTGATTTTTCGTGCAGTCTCTGCTTTTCATCCCACCCTGTGCCAGAATAGGATTTTGCCTACTTTCTCCTCTACACCGAGTGCCCACTATTCTGTTGCTGCTCAAAGGCAAAATGTGAATACCAGGAAAATTAAAAAAAAAAATAGCATTCAAGGAAATGGTGATACTCTCTTTTTAATCTTGACAGCAGTAGTGAGAGAGAGGACAGACTTCACTGAGGACATTAGTATAATACTTCCTGTCATACCATGAAAGTTATATGTTTCCTTTGTTTTATAAATATTAATGCATTAATAGTGGAATTTTCAGTATTAGAATCATGATTTGAGAAAGTGCTATTCACAATTAACTTACTACCTATGTACTCCCAGATTCCAGAAGAATAGCACACCAAAATCAAAATGCTTCCCACAGAAAAAAAAATGAAAAAAGCCTAAAAACAGCCATACTGCTTTCTGTGGCATTCTTTGCATGCATGTTCAGTGATTCAGTTAATTAGTAGCATTGAGTTTGAGCTCTATCTTTTAAAACCTAAGCATGAAAGTAGTATCTTACCTTGTATCTCTAATGAGAGGTGCACTTCCCAGTTTAAAGCAGATCTTTTCCCCACCACAAGATGTTTGCCTTAAAGAAAAGCTTTCTGCCAGATCAAACCCTGTAAAATAGAACACAATACAATACAATTATAATGGAATTTAAATACTGTAAGTAAAAAATAATTTTTAGCATACTTGAATACAAGCATATTAGCATTTCTAGAATATAGACTGACAAGATATTTTGAAAAGTAGAATTTGAAGTCAGAAAAACTTTCAATATTTATTTTATAAGAACTATTCATGCAAAATTCACTTGGTAGATGACTTTAAAACTTGAAAAATGAATTTGCTAGTTCTTTTAACATTTGAATGTATAAGAATGCAGGATGATTGGAAAAAAACATGGAAATTAGTGTGGCTGCCGAACTTAAACCAATATTTTTGGGGAAAAACGTTCTGGGATGCTGCCACCTTCCTGGTAGCAGCAGCAGCTTTTGGTGCTTGGGGATGGCATTCTGTCCTAAACTTTCAATTTTAAAGCCAGCTTCAGTCAGACTATAATTACATCCAGCAATCATTAGCAGCTAATTAATACAGATATCCATATTAGCTTGGTCATTTACCTGATACACCACGACTGTCTCTGTTGATTTGTTTGAGATGACGGGAAACAGTTTTCATTAAAGGACACACAGCACCTTCAAGAGAACACAGTTTATTATCTATGGTAAAATGGTATCAAACTAACAGGAATTGAACAAACTATCATGGCAGTTATGGTAATATTGACAGGAATGTTGCTTTTTGTCGCTTTAGGATATGAAAAGTGGCAATAAACCAAATTACAAAATCTAATCAAAAGCAAATTTTATACTACACTTCCAATAATATAAGCAGATAGAATTTTTGTCACATTTTAATTCAGCTGCCTGTGGTTAAAGTTCATATAAACAATATAGCCAGAAGAAAACCATTAAATTCTTACCATGCTGTTCCCATTTATAACGCTCTATAAAGCAGCAATATCTGTTCGAAGTTCTTTTTGTATTTCTCACTGTATTACTAGAAAATATTTTCCCCCATTCATGAATATGAAACAATATTGTATTTTGGGGAAAAAAAGCACAAAAATTAAGTAGGGGAGTAGTCTGGACCAAAGTGTTTTTGTAAGCAAACAGAATGTTCTAAAATTTGGAACACGGTAAACTGAGGTTAAATCTAACTGAACCCTCAGATAAGACACTGTATTATTAATATGCAATATTAATCATTATTAGTTCTTACTTGCACTAAGTCCTTTATGCTCTTTTTTTTTAATAGATATACAAGAATGTCCACTTTTAAGAAGGAAATACAGGAAAATGTCACTTTTGTGCAGGGGTCTGAAATAAGGCTTGCTATTTAACAAGTTTTGCAAATAGCCCTGCTAAATTCTAAAAAAGAACCCTAGTAAATCACAGATGACAAGTTGGTCTGTCAGCTTATCAAGCACAGAGCTTTGTGAGCTGATGCAACTGAAAAGATGTCCAAGGTGTATCTGAAGCTGCTGAGCAGTGAAGGTCAAGGCACTTTCTGAACCATTAGTTCAATTAAAAAAGTAAGGAATGTCCTATCATTAACCCAGAAATTATCTATATTTGAATGTTTCATGAGAGCATCCAGACCAAACATTGGTATTAAAAATGGCTATATTTGTAATCTTAAAGCATGTGAAATTTGTCATTCATTCTGTAGTTATGTAGAAAGCATATTATCCTTCAAAACTCTTAAATGCTATCAAATATATTTCAGAATTTGATCTCGATTGAGAATGGCTAATTGGAAATAACCAGTAAAAGTGACAATATATCATATAATACAGACATAAAGACACTCCCTGATAATGTGGTTAATGAAAGCTATGTTAACTATTTTAAGAACAGACCGGGTGAAACAATTTTTTTTTTTTTGTAAGATTCATTAAGTTCCACGTGCTTCATCACAGTTACAACTAACAATTGACTACTACAAGTAACATCACAGATAAATTGATTTCCTTCTAAGGCTCTCAGAAAATAAATTCTTTTCTTTCCCTCATATAGATCCATAAATACGTGCATATGCATGTTTTTCCCTGTACAGATAGAGTTTCATGGTGAGATTAAATATATGCATGAAAAACTCTGTAAATTCCCATTCCCCAGAAAAGACACTGAACTGTAAAGAATATTCGTGTTGAAAACTCTGAAGTGAAATCTTTCATCATTCTTGGTTAGCAGGAAGTTTTATACAGTGAGAAAAGCATTTGCTGGAATTACACAGTAACATAGCAATTTCAATACACCAGTTGATATATACACACATGGGACAGAAACAGGTTCACCTTAGATACCCTTTAGTTTACAAACCTCAAGCTTCAATCAAATACAGATTATTGAACTATAGAATTCTATACACAGCCACTCTAAACCAATGAATGATGTTAGGGTACATTTACATAACTATAGCTCTAAGAAATAAGCTGGCATAAAGGAAGCCATTTATGGCTGAAGTCACAAAAAAATGTCAGACATACATGGATAGATGTTTTTTCTTAAATCAACAGGTTTCCTAAGGGCCTTTTTCAAAAATATGCAATAAATTTCAAGGTAGATTCTCCTTTTGGTTAAATTCTTGGCAGTACTTATAAGAGCAGACAAACAGTATTTATTGCTGATTTTACCCTAAACTGATGTAAGTTTTTGAGAACTTGGGACACAAGTGTGCTTTTTTTTTTCCCCAGCATTAACTTACATGAGTGTTGAGCAGTGAAAGACTAGAAAGTTTGAGCCTATTCCCCAGAGCCACTTTCTTCCAAATAAAGACTCAAGCCTTAATTTTTGTGCTATCCAGATGATAGCGATGATTCCTCACATGCCACAGACTGGACCGTGGACCTATTTTTATCAGTGGCACAACAGTCACACCATAGACAGGCCATTTAAGTGTTATTTATTTATTTGTATTCCACATCCCCGAAAGAACTGAAAGAGTTACACGAATCTTCTATTGCACTCCTTTAGTTCAGTGCTATTCCTTCTACCAGAGAGCTAAGGGAAAACTCTCAAATAACAAGACCAAACTCTCTCCATACCAAGACTGACAACTTTCATTACTATAGAGCGATGAAAATTCTTTCTGCAGTTACAGCTTGCATAGTTAACCTCTTCCACGATTTTTTGACTGCTAGCAGATGCTTAAATTTTCTTTAGCCTGAGACAAAACAGGCAGTTTGCCCATTCAACATGTGGGCAGATGAATGACAAGGCCTACATGAAGATATTCAGGAAAGAAAAAGAGCAAGATAAACACTTGCTCTTAATCCAGTGGGAAACCATGAATCTATCTGGCCTGTTAAAATACATTATTATAAAATTCATGAAATAGTAAGAAGAACAAGCTTACATTTATGCACTAGATTGCCCTGCACATGATAAAACTGCATCTGTGTGGACTGAAATAAAAAATTCATATAAAACCAATGATATCATAAGGTCAAGTTAATGTATCTTTAAATTAATGATATCTTTACCTACCCATACAAAAAAGTTGGCCTGGATCTTTATAAATCAATGAGTTCTAGCTATGAGCTTATTAATATAAAGTCAATCCAATAATCTTGAAAGTATTAATTTATTCAGACCAAGCAGGTACATCACAGATCATTGTCTTCTCTCTCATTACTAAGATTAGTAAGAATTTTTTGGGTTTTTTTTCTAATAGCATAATTAAAAAAAAAAAAAAAAGGCATTGCATCTAGACATATCTGTTGCAACATGCAATGGCGCGTTCCACATTCCTGGAATGATCAGGACACCTGTTGAAGCACACTGCAACTTCCATCTAGGCACCATGCTCAGCTTTCCATTCCATGCAAACGAGGACAAAAGAGACTGTGGTGTGTGCTTCAGTCTCCCTCTTACAGATAGATATCTCTTGTGTGCACTTCCTGAGGGGGAACTGAAACTTCCAATGGGCAGTCTTGGCTTCTTCAGATTCGCGTAACCTGTAATGGCTAGATTCACATTGCAAGTACCCATCTGCTACCTTATAACCAAACTTCACATTCAGGTGAGGTTTTTAGCTGCCATCTACCACCACTGACATGCACATTGCAAAGGCACTGAAGCTTCCATGAGTAGCCATGACCACACCAATGAATGTGGCCAAACACCAAAGCCCAACCTATTGTATACCCACGTCCCGTGTCAACTCGAGCTTCAGGCAGAAACCCGTATTACCTAAGATTTTTCTCATACTTCCCATACATGGATCAGGTTCATAAACACACAGGCAACCTCTTCAGAGCTAGTGACACACCTGCAAATATCAGCAATGATATCCAGTAATATCAAACATATTCATAATGAAGATAAGCAGATCCAGCTGGCTTGCTTTCAAGGTCAAGAATTCAGATTTCTTACATATCTCTAGCTTCAAGTATACAGGCATGTGATTTTTTTGTATTCTTTTTTTTTACTCTGTAAAGAAGATTATATTACATTACAATGTTAAAATTAAGACAAGGGTAGGAAGAATGAAGGGAACGTGATACAGTAAAGAAGTCAACTTCAAGTCTGGTGACTATTTAGATGGTTATGAAGTAATGTAACAGCATTGGCAGGCAGAAATAAGAAATCCAAGAAACAGAGTTCAAGGATTAGGATATTCACATTAGGCCCCTGGAGAACTATATTCTCCCATGAAAAAGAGTAAGTAGTGAAAAGCAGGATTTCATATTATTTGAGACAACCAGCACCACTCAACTTCAACTTCTCAACTTCAACACACTCAACACACCTCTCAACTTCATTGAGACAACCAGCACTGCTTCACCAAGGGCAAGTCTTGCATGACTAACTCAGTGGCCTTGCACAATGGAGTGACTGCATCAGTGGACAAGGGAAGAGCTATGGATGTCACCTGGATTTCTGCAAGGCCTTTGACATGGTCCCCACAATATCTCTGAATTGTAGAGGCTGGGATTTGCTGTGTAGACTGCTCAGAGAATGATGAATTGGTTGGACAGTCACATCCAGAGGGGAGTGGTCAACTCCTCAATCTCCAGATGGAAAACAGTGGCAAATGGTGTTCTGTTTGGGATCAATGTTATTTAATTAATTAATGACATGGATGAAGGGATTGACTGCACCCTCAGCACATTTGCAGATGACACCAAGCTGAGTGATGCAGTTGACACACCTGAAGGACAGGATGTCATCCAGAGGGACCTGGACAAGTTTGAGAATTGGGCTCATAGGAATCTTGTGAGGTTCAACAACGTCATGAGAATGCTGCACCTGGGCAATGCTCAGTTTCAAAACAAGCTGAGGGTTGAAGGAATTGAGAGCAGCCCTGACAAGAAGGCTTTGAGAATACTGATGGATGAAAAGCTGGAGATGAGCTGACAATGTGTGCTCACATCCCAGAAAGCCAATCATATCCTGGGCTACATCTAAAGAAGCATGGCTAGCAGATCAAGAGAAGTGATTCTGCCCATCAGCTTCACGAAAAGCCCCCCACCCTGACTACTGTATCCAACTCCAGGGCCCCAGCACAAGAAAGATGTGGACCTGCTGGAACAGGTGCAAAGGAAGGCCACAAAAACGATCAGAGAGCTGGGGCATCTCTCCTGAGAACTAAGGTTTTCAGCCTGGAGAAGAGAAGGCTCCAGGGGGACCTTATTACATCCTTCTAGCCAGTGGGCCTGTAAGAAAGATGGGTACAGACTTGTCATCAGGATCTGTGGTGACAGGACAAGGGCTAATTGTTTTAAATAAAAGAAGATTTAGACTAGACTTGACAATAATGGTGGTGAAACACTGGAATATGTTGCCCAGAGAAGTGGTAGATGGCCCATCCCTGGAAACATTCAAGGCCAGATGGGAATGTCAGGACTATGAAGACATTGTATGTGACAGAAACTATAGGGTCATTATACTGATTTGGAGAAGTATCTAGCTGTACTAAAGCATTAAAACCAAAAAGCTGAACTGATTTGCATACCTGAAATCACTCACTGTATTTGGGCTAAAGCGCCTATCTAAAATCATGATCCATAGCCAATACTTTTCACAGCACGTTCCATGTCAAAAGACAAGGAAAATTCACCATGCCTATTAGTCTCAGCACTCTGTTTATACTACATTTTTCATGGATTAGCAAGTGGCTTTAAAAAACTCTAATTGTAAAAGAAAGTCGAAAAAGAAGCAATGATCTGGGAATGAGACAGAATCGTAATATTCTTAATATAAAACTGTCAGGAATGATCAAATTAGAACTTCACATGTCACTACAGAAAGAGCTAACATCCACACTCAAACCCCAAATATTCCCAATAATAATAAGTCGACAACATGAAGAAAGTATGCTTGCAGTCAGATCAAAAATATGCCTCCGGAAAACTCCTGAACTCTCTCCCCTCAGATTTGCTATACCCCATCATGGGAAGCGAGTGCTTCCTTCTAATGAACACTAAGCATATCAAAACATGAGAACTGAAAGAAATCTTCTATGTGAATCTAATGCTTACTGGCACCCTCAGAGCCTAAGGAGGACTGCTCCAAGAAGAGCCAGCATACTCTCTCAGCCTCCGACTCTTTTTTCAATTCTGGTATTTATTCATTACAATATTGGTCCAATGAATAAGTCAAAGTATATTCAGCATGTCTGCTCAGAAAGCTCAAATCAATCCTTCTCCTAACACACTTCCTCCCCTCACCACCCTCAAATTAATTTTAGTCTACACTTTTCCATGTATTTGAAGCCATTCTTTTAGATTCAAGTAGATTGGGTGAGAAATTTCAAGATGTAAATATAATCATTTCAGATCCTACCTAAATGTGCTTTGCTGGAAAAGTTTCTATTTTAGCCCAGAGAAATAAATGCTATGCATATGTTGTTGAAGGAAGAAAACCAAAAAGATCATCTAGGCAGATATTGAAGGACAGATGCTGATTTAAACAGAACTTGTACATGGGAGGGAACAAAGGCCCAAGAAAGAACAACTGAATACAAGACAGGGAAAAAACCCCAAACCTTTACATATTACTCTCTCCATGAAGAAAGCAGATTTCAAATTTGTAACAGATTCACCTGCATACAAATTATAAAACTGGAGCAAGACAACTTTGCCACACAGAGGAGTCAGTTCAGCTGAACAGAGGAGAGTAACAAAAGTTTGGCAGAAGGATCTGCACCACTTTTACCACTGCTCCACTCCTGGGTCCATTCTTTCCCAACTCCTGCTTTCTGGTCTATAACTCGCATTTCTTTTTTCAATGGTAACCATTCCTGCAAACTCTACTAGAGTCTCTTTCCTCTTATCAACTGGAGTTTATCTCCAGGCTTAACTCACACACCTGCTGTTGGCAGAGCTGCTCAAGCTGGCAGCTATCAGCTTGTTATTCCTCACCATCTGCCTGTACCTCCACAAACGGAAGGAGCCTCTTTCAAGTGCACACCCTCAGTTATTCACAAGAGAGGTTCAACCTCTCCTTTTCTTCCTCGCAGTTCAATTGGACCCATATTTGGTCTATTTGTGGCAATCAGGCTAAGGAAAACTGCAACTTCACCATGGGCTGCTTAGCTACAAACTTCTAACAGAATGTACTGCATAGTTCAGATACACTGTTTATTTGCAGTTCAGTGTATCTGCCACATCTTCTGTGGCTGGCCCAACTTTTAACTAAGGCATCATTTCATTAGGAAAAAAAATATAAAAGAAAAGAGACATTGCTTCCTGGAATTTTGTTTTAACATTTTTCAGTCTATATCACTAGGGAACCTTCTGTACTAGCACCATTTTAGCACTTTAAAAACTTCCCTTCTGCAACCCACTACCTAGCAATGACAGAATAAAACCTATTTGTCTTCTTTCAGACAGAATGATTTCACAGCTATGATGTATGCTTGCTCTCTCAGAGGGGTTAAGAATAATTCATCAGCAGAGCACTTAGCCTCACTGCCCTAAAAATATAAGGGGAAAAAGACTTTGACTTAAATTCTGGCTCTTCACAATGCATTATTATTACCTCAGAGCCCACACATTACACTTATTATTTATTCATTATTACTGTTTATATTTTCCAGGGGTAGTAAAAGGATTATTTTTCTAGTCATGGACTTTTAAATTTCTTGGGCCTGAGTTATAAATGAGTTATTGAAATTCAAAGTTGTTGTTGTGTGTGTAGTTTCCATTATCTTTTATAAGATTTCTGGAAAGGAGCAACATTACTAAGAGTTAATTTTATTTTTGAGAAAAAACCCAAGTCAATTTAAATAGCAATAAACATGTTTTCTGTGCTAATAATTTTAGAAAATTATAATAAGTTGAAGTACTTGCTGAGGCTGAGTAATTCTAGAAAACTGATGTTCCATATTTGACAAGCACATATGATGTGCCTTTAAGACAGAATTTGCCACATTCTGGAGAGTTAATGTAGAGTTTAAGTGAGAACACTAGATAACATGTGGAAAGTAAAAGAAAGAGGAAAACAGAGAAATCTGAGAAAATTTGCAGAAGATGGGAAACAGCTTTTAAGTTAAACAATATCTTTTTATTTCCTTTCCCCACCTTCTTAGGAAAAAAGGGGTTTCTTTCACTCTGCGTGAAATATATGACCCAGTTTAGGAATTAAGTATAGGTGCAGTTAACATGGGCATTAGATTGTTTAGGTCAATGTGATAACTGGTCTGCACTAATAAAGCCATATGATTCTGTTCACAAAAGTTTTGCAAACTCTGATTTATAATATTGATTTGTATGGTAGGAAAAGAAAAGTACAAAATGAAGCTCCTAGGAACTACAATTACCTCCAAACATGAATCTTCCAAGCACAGGAAGCAGAAAGGCTGCTCTGGAACTGCTTCAAACTTAGTTCATTTCAGAAAAGAGATTAAAACAACCTTGTATAATTTTATTTGTTCATATTGTTTATTTTCTATGTGCTCTTGTTATTTGCTAAAAATTTTTCAGTACTGAGATTTATGCCTTTGGTCTGTGATGGACAAGAAAAATGGAAGTACCTGTGTGGTCACTGACAGCCAGAGACGTAGAAACAGGAAGGAGGAAGACTGCCATACAAAGCCAAACTATGCAGGATCCAGTGTACTTCATCTCCCCCTGGACACATGTGAACAAACAGCTACAAATCTGAAATGAAAAAGAAGAATATTCAGAACAATCTCATCTTATTCTTCTCACCTCACCTTGTCAGAATGCTGCAAACAAGAACTTCTTAACTGTGAAGAGGAGTTGCTAGTCATATACAAGTGTATAATTTTTCAGTTTAAGGAGCTACAAAAAAGGTTTATGCCAGTTTGGAAATAAATGATAAATATCCTCCTTTTTAGTTCTTTATTAATGAACACAGAAGTAACACCTTAGAAATGCTAACTTGGAGATATTAATTGTAAAGGCACTGAATGTTCATTTCATTAGTAATTACTAATTTTCTTTTATATTTCTCCCCAAATTATTTTTCATTATTCAATATATTAGTTAAACTGTTTGGTGTCACAACACTTACAGTGACTGCTAAGGTAGTCCTCAAATGGAAGAAAGGCAACATGCAATTGTTTAACCACAAAAGAAACCAAAATGCAATATTTCTCCACCTTGCAAAGTGCCTAGAGCAGCCTATACTGAATTTCTAGTTTAAATCTCACAAAAGTACAGGCTTCAACAACACAAACTGGTACTGTCATTAGAGGACAAAAGCTTCTTTTTCTAAGCCAACTGCGACATATAAATACACATGAATTTAATGAAACACAGAAAATATCTAATGTTTTTCTAATCACATCTTCTGTAAGAAAAGGAAATCACGTACCTAAGATGCAATTGTTATAATTATTTTTGCAAGGCACCTTATTTATCATGAAAGCTATTCTGTCATAACCTGACATCAACTACATCATGATTAACTTTTCTAGCCTTCCCACCAGCAGCAAAGCGAATACATGTTGAAATGAATTATCATTTAATTTCCTGCACCTGCTTTACAAGCAGGCATCGGGAATTCAGTAGAGCTGCCTGCTCCGGAGGTCTGCTTTGGTCTGCTTTTCTGCAGGGCTCTGATCACCAGCACCGCCACCCCCTCGCTGCCGCCGCACCTCCGGGCTTGGGTCCTCTCCCGCCGGCTGCTCCAGGAGGCTCCGCTCCCTCGCACCCCCGGAGCCCACGGGGCGCCCGTGCAGCGACGCGAGCCCCGGCAGCGCAGACTCCGACCCGGCAGCGCCGTTTCCCTTGGATCGAGCCGCGTTTGCCGGAGGGAGGGTTCAGCCCTCCGGGCGGGAAGGCAAGCGGGCAGCTCTCCCAGCCGGGCAGCGCCCCCGCCCCGCTGCCGGAGCCGCTCTCCGGCCCCCGCCCCGGGCTCCCTCCGCCCCGTCTCCCCGGCCCCTGCCCGCGGCGCCGGGACCCGCGGCAGCCCGGGCAGGCAGCGAGGGGCAGGCGGCCGCCGCCGCTTCCTCCGCAGCCCCGGGGCGGAGCGGGGCCAGGAGCCCGCCCGGCCGGCGGCGCCTGCGAGCGGGGCAGCCCCGGGGCGGCGGCGGCACCTGCGCCGGGCCAGCAGGTGAGTGAGGGGCCGCCCCCGGCCCACGGCGGCCCCATCGGGCCGGGACGCGGCCGCGGCACCGCCGGGCTGTGCCCGAGAGCCGCGGTGCCCCCTCCCCGCAGGGCACTGCCCGCCCGAGCCGCTGCTCGCTCACCAGCGCGCTCCCAGCCGCTGCGGGCAGGCCACCCGGCACGCCTGCTAGTTACAAGGTAGGCTTTTAAATGTAAATATATGCACAATTAGTATAGTGGCAATTCGCAACAGTTTCATCAGTTTTGTAAATTACTGCTCATTTAGCAGGGCTGTTTTTATTTGCATATCTTAGCGTACACCTATTGTCACCCATTAGCATATACAATGTATTTACGGAATCACGAGCAGAATACTATGGCACAGGCTGATTACAGTACGTTAAAAACTTACGGTATACATCGTGTTTATATAAGACATAGTTAACATTAGCAATGATAAACTTAAATGACAATTTTGGAAATCAAAACCAAAAACCCTTGAAGAAAAACACCTCAAAACAAGCCAGGAATAGTGTAGCGTGTGCGAGTGTGCACATGTAAGATGTTTAGATAATTGACTACACATAGTGAGTGGCTTACCTTTATTTTTTTTATTGTTGTGTCCCCCAGAAGCGCTGAAAATGCCTGTACAGAGCTGCTGTAGTGCCGAGGAGTTGCTAGAGTGAGTCTCCAAAGAGTGGTAGAGGGGGATGCAGCTCTGTCCTTATTAGTCTCACAGTGTGACCCTCCCACTCAGTGAGCACAGAATACTCTGCAAGAAAGAACAAACAGCCACCCAGACACAGATTTTACATAATTATATGTGTGCATCCCAAGTCAGGTAACAATGTAAGAAATGTTTGGAGTTTTTTCTCCTTCCCCCTACCTCTCTAAAAGCACCCTCTCAGCAGTTCCATAAATTAGACAGCCGTGGTATGAATGCATGAATGAAAGAGTATCTGGTTTCTAGCTGTGAAGAACCAATTATGTACATTATTACACTGGCAGAAACTAGCTTTTATCTTTTAAGTGTAAGCATACTTTAATTTTAGATACTTTTATATACTTCACCATAAATTTAAAAATCAGCCATGCAAGCAACCAAGAGGGTACACCTATTTATGGCACTGATGCTGTAATGCACAGTGAATTACAGAAATTTGTTCTGCCTTTTAAAATCTATCATTTGCAAACCTGAATGTTCTTGAACTTGTAATATCATCTGTCTGTGATGGCATGGTGAGACTGAGCACTGCCACTGGCTCTTAGCTGAATTTGCCAAACTGCACTTCTGTCAGGTTCTCCAAGTGTGCTTGTGGCAGTTTTCTGAATTGCACTTTAAAGATGTGAACCAGATAGAAGGACAAAGAGAAGTAAAACAACCAGAAACAGATATACAGAAGACAGAGAGTAGGGCCTCAGCATTTTATTTATTTATTTATTTATTTATTTATTTATTTATATCCAAGACATATTTTACCTTTTTCTAGTTGAATTATTCTGATGGGAGAAAAAAAGGAAGGTGGTCATATGAAAATTTATCAGCTTAACATCAATTTAGCCAATTGGTCTTCAGATCAGAAAATATATAGGGTAAACTTTCTTCTACCCCCAGCTCCCATACCCCAAATCCTCCCACCCACTCAGCAGATTTTGTTTCCTCAGTGTTTCCTCATTTCAATCAAGATAACTTGCCAGTATAACCAACAAATCACATGGAAAGACATGATTATCTTCCTGGTTTGAATTTCAAAACAGTTGTTGTTCTTCCCAACTTAGAATCACGAGAGAAAGATGAAATTGCAGCTTACGTACACATCTGCTGGGGTGTTTTATTCCACGGCTTGCCACAGGCTTGTGGTGTAACTTTAGGCAAGTCACACTTCTTGCTTGCTCATTCTGAAAATTACAGAAAGTAAAGCTGTCTTACCTCTCAGGATGAGGTGCAAGAGCCCAATCCCACAGCTGACAAATCATCGGAGCATTCTTCTTCTCCTTCAGACTCTTCATTTGATAAAGGCCTCGATGCTGAGCCCTAATTCTGTGTTTCAGAGTTGTGAGATCCTCAGTTGAAACACCCTTTGTAAAAAGTCTGCTCATAATAAAAGGCATCTTTTTTTTTTTAATTTGAGAAGAGCTGCATTTCTCATTGCTCTTTCAAGCTACAAGATTCTAATTTTTTTTACTTCTTTTTACATGTTCTAAATACCTGGATTCATCTACTTTACATGAATTTAAACAGTCTCATTAATTTCAATCAAATATAAGCTCTGAAGTTGCTAAGCATTTTAATTGCATAAGAGTTTGCACATACAATCAGTTTATCCTTTAAAGAAATATTTCTGCTTCTTAAAATTTCAGTAATGCTTCAAGGTCCAGACCCAAATACGGTCTTCATTTCCTGTAAAGCAAGGATGTTGCTTCCCTTGCAAAATACTGACACTACAAATAGAAAACTAAATACCTTATTTGGACCATGTAAACTTAAAAAAATACTTTACATCTGCATGAAAGCAATAAGTAGAAGAATTAGAAACTGCTACAACCTTCTCTGACTAATACATACTCACAATGTACTCTGGGCCACATCTTCAACTAAACAGGATTATTCCAGTTCACATAAATCAAAGGAATTACAGGGATTTATACTAGTTGAGGAGCACCACGTTAGGGACTGCCATCATATGTATTTATGGACAACACTGTTCACATTATTAAAAGCAGTTTGAATGACTAGTGACATGAAAATTGGGAAAAAGAAAAACCTTACTGTTTAAAAACCTCTGTCATGACCTCCAAAAACTGGTTTCTCTGTGTCTCCCATAATATAGGAAGCAAAGCCACAACTGGTGACATATCTGTTGCTCCCAGTAACAGCTTAGAAATCCCAAACACTTCCTCACCTGCAGTTACTGATGCACTCCAGAGAAAATATCTATACTTTGTCTTATCTGCTTTAAATCTGGGAAGTACTGGAAAAACTGATAAGCTGAAGCAGCAGCAGCCAATGGATGATATCCCATCTTGTCTTTGCAGCAACATATTTTTCCAGCTATCTCAGAGTTTAGCTAAAGCACACAGAAGGCAGAATTAGACCTGGATCCAGGAAAGAGTCAAGGAAAATACACCAAGAATCAGAAAGTAGAGAAATTTAGGTTTGAAGCCATACTTAGCACAGACATGCAGAGAACATTCCATCTCCTGTGCCAAGGCAAAACTGCTCCACTGAACAGCTTTTACTACAACTACAGTTGCAGGCAAGATGCAGAGGGAAAAGGTGAGAGAATCAGGGGGCTAAAGCACTGACTTTTTTTTATAGAAAACTTTTCTTTATTGCTAACACTCACTTTCACCCTTTGTTTCTTTTCTTGTCATGATTAGATATCCAAACCAGCCAAGTTGCATAATTCGCTCTCTGCGTGGTGTTAACAGATTTGTCTCCATCTCGTTAGACCCACATTTTAAACTGTTGCTTACAACAACATGTATGCAGGAATGAAGCTGTAAACTTGGACAAAAGTCTTTAAAGGCAGCAGTATCCTACTTGAAAA